ATGTAATATGTAGTTTAAAATCGAAGATGCAAAAGCATGATTCTTTTACGACATCATGAATGATGAAAAATTCTAACTATTTTTAAATATAGCATGTTTAGTGTATATTCTTTGAAAACAACTCGCCTCGTGCAACAGTATCGTCATAGTCAGGACTGTTAAAGTCATTCTACCGCTAAATCGTGTTAATGTTTTGATACTTACATGGCTGGGAACTTTGTGAACTGGAAGAATAATTTTTCAAATCACCCCGACATAAGTTGGAGAATACTCAATTACACAGATAAAGATTATTACTGTATTCAAAATAGTGAAGTAGCAGTGCCAGTTTGTGAAGTAGAAACATAACTTCCAGTTACTCGTACTTTACCGCAAGATAATTATTACGGTTTAATATGAACAATATTGTACAGTAGATGATAAGAAAGCACGAAGCAAGCATCATAGCAAAACAGACTATGACGCATGTGTAAAACGGTGTCTTGTTTTACGTGTTAATGATAAATAATATGTTCATTTTATGTTACTGTACTTTTCAAGTATGTAATTACTTTTTTGTAATGACAAATTGTTTGAAGCCTAATCCTTACGTTAAAAGGTTGTCAAAACAATAAAAGTAGTTTTGATCCCCGTATAGGATTTTTGCGTCTTTTCAAGCCAATAGAACTCCGACTTTTAGTGTTAAAATAACTCAAGCTTATTGCTCAGCCACCAAGGTCTTTTATATGCTCAACGATGAGTCTTAACTCACTTGAATCTCAATCAATTTTATACTTTTTACTTGTATAAAGAAAACCAGATAATCTTTTTTTAAATCGTTTCCTATCTCGAAAATACACAAAACATTTATTTTAATACTTAATGTTCTGAACTCTCAAGATACTATAACATTATCAAGTGTATTTTGTCTATTTACTGTTTTCTTTCTTTTGGCATTATTATATATATGTTCATAACGTATTACTTTATTTACGTTTTTAAGTTTATTTTTTAAATATCATTTCCAACTTTGATTAGCGGTAGTTCCACAATCCTACAAGTACAAGTAACTAAGCACTAAGATTCATTATAATGATAAACATCAGATAAAGTTTAGTTTACATAAACTACGGGTGTATATATACATATAGTCAATCGATTACATAAGTATTTGAAACAAAATCGTTTCTTATCTTCTTCGCTAAGGTTAATATTTCCGCATTATATGAGCTGACTAAAATCATATCATATATGATTTGGCAAAAGTGTGAGCGTATACATATATATATATATATATATACATTCAATAGATTTCATACGCACTTGAAACAAAATCTTCTCTTATCTTCTTCGCCAATTTTGCCCCCCCATTGGCATAGCGGCATGTCTGCGGACTTACAACGCTAGAATCCGAGTTTGATACCCGTGGTGGGCAGGACACAGGTAGCCCATTGTGTAGCTTTGTGCTTAATTAGAAACAAACAAACGAATCGCCAAGTTTAATACTTAGCGCCAGTTGAACAACACGAGCTGACTAAATCATATCATATACGACAATAAATGATGTTTGCAATGTCAAAGTAATCTTGTACATTGCAAACAAAACCAAGTTTTTCTTATATCGATATTCAGTCAAATAGTAAGTATTTATTATATTGTTGCCACATTTTCACAGGAAAAAACACTAACTATTAATAGTTCGTATAACATTTCTCAAGAGATAAATGAAACAATACTTCATTCAACGAATTACTGAGCTGACAAGCAACCTTGCTGCCACAAGGTTTCCAGAGTATTTATCTTAATTTATCACATCTTCGTATACTATAATTACCAAATTCAAATTGTTCTTGCTTTGCATTGAACTTCCGTCTGTAGACTACACTATTTGTAGAATGTACACTTGCCATGCGTCTAACAGTTGCGGCTGCATGCAATATTTGCCGTTTTAAATACTCCACTTAACTTATTAGAAGAACATTATATTTGTATTATTTGATAGATTGTTTAGGCAGAGTAATCATGATAGAATTTAGTTAAATGGATGACAACTGACTGTTGCAGAATCACAAGTGTTGAGGACGACGTTTCGAAAGTCTCCCGCCTTTCGTCTTAAGGTCAACGAAAGGCGTAAGAGTTTCGAAACGTCGTCCACTACACTTGTGCTTCTACAACAGACAGTTGTCATCCATTCAACAGTAAATTTGTTTTATTTTAGTGAATCATAGCGATTAGATTTATGGTGCTTTATTATTGATATTCTACTACGTTGCATTACAGACATTTTGTTTATTTACTCATTTTAGAACAGTGATAAATGAATCTCATATTCGTTTGAAATACTATTATTCTGATGTGATTTTAAAAGCTTTATGCTCCATATTATACAGAGATGTCCGAATCTCAACAATTTGAATTCCAAAATTTAAAAAATTCTCAAATATATTTTCAGTAATAATTCACATGTAGCCTGGTTGGTTCATTTAAAAGAGAACAAATTATTAATGCTTCTCTAAAACGTGGTCAATTCAGATCCGAAGCATTACATACGAGATTAAAATTAGCTTTCTTAGGCTAGGCGTCAAATAGACTATTAACATATTCTGAAATAAGGATTCCATTCTCAATAAATGTTCTGAGAGTGAGTGCTCTTTTAGACCAAGAGATAAGCAGTTAATCTTAGATTCTACATATCCACTCCACAGCAATGATAAATTAAAATATAAACTACATTCGTCAGCTTAAAATACTCTTTATACAAACATGAAGAAACACAGCTGAAAATATGTCTCAGTTTTTTCTGGAAAAAAAGTGAATGCAATAAAATCTCATGAAGAGTAACATTAAGTTCTTAGGTTCACAAAATAGGCCAAACTAAAGAAATATAAAAGTGTATAATTTGATTAAATAATTTCCTACACTATTTCTTATTATTGATAAGTGATATTGGAAAATCGTTAAGTAGAGAGAAATACACTGAATTTAAAAATTCTTCATTAAGTCCATGCAAATCAATGGCCAGCTTATTTATTCGGTGTTCAGTTTTTTCTTGAAACAGAAAAATATAAAACGTTTAAGTTAAATTTAAACTACCCGTTAAAGTTAGGTTTATGATACACTGAACGTTTTTCACCTTAAGGTTAACATTGGTGACAGCGCTATATATTTATTTATTTGGGATTGTGAATCAATCATTTCGTTTGATGGAAACAGAGAAACAAACTAGCCAAACGATGAGTATGTTGGCTCCCTGGAGGCTCAGCGTTAACACTGAGGGATTAATACCCTAAAATCGTGTTTCCATATCTGCAGTGAGCAAAACACAGTGGCCCATTGTGTTACTCTGCGCTTAACAACAAACAAGTGAACACTTTAGAATTCAGAGAAAAAATTAATGATTTTGTGCCACATTACAGAGTATTAATTAAAACAGATTCAGTTAATATTCTTAATTTCGTAACCGAATAATTAGAAAAATATGATAAGCATCCACAAGCTGTTGATAATGGCTTTCCATAAACTTACGAGTCTCACTGAGCATTTTTACTTCGTCAGCCTAGGCATTTTACAACACAGCATTATGTTTCTTTTGCTATACACGAGTATCATTTTAGATAGATTATAACTGTAATATAACTAACCTAATATGATTGAGTTGTACATGCTAATGCCTTGGTATCAGCCGAGGTGCCAATGATAAGATACTTAGCATATGTAAGTTTGGTTCGCGGCGAATTCCCAATATCTCGACTGTTGCTTGTCGCAGAGGTAGTAGACGCACAGCAGGAGATATATATATCTCATCAGTTTCTGAGGAAAGATAATCGTATAGTGAGATTGATAAATGATGTAGGACCAAAGGACACATTTCTTCGTAGAACGAATCACTCAGCAGATGTGGAAACACTCGTAAAGAAGAAGAAGAGAGCTTAGAACAACAACGAACTCCGAAATCAATTCCCATGCCAACTCAGACTAACTCTGTCATCTGCGAAATGAAAGCTACAATTAGAAGTAAAGAACTCTTTCGACTCCACACGCACTTATCATGAAACTCGTCATGTCTTCTGTTTTTGCTGACAAGATAATAAACAAGGACTGCAAGTCTCACAAGCTGTCAGAAACGTACTAAAAAACAACGATTAACATCATCAAAAACATGACGAATAAACTGCAATCCCATAAAATCTTTAATCACAAATCTGTCAAGTTCTCTTTTGTATCTCTGATAGAATTTTTGTGTCTTTAGTCTGTTTAAAAGTAGTCTTGGAAGCCAACATCCACTTACAGAGGAGGATCAGTTAAACGTTCTTCAAGACAAATGATGTAAGATTAACCTCGCTATCATTCAAATAAATTTATCACAATTGATTGTATAATATCTGACAATAGTGCGTAATCATGTCCATCAGACTACACACGATCGATGACGGAAAAAGATCGAAGGGCAGCATAAGACGTGGAGTATCTTTGTTATAAGTAACAGCTACCCTGAGTTCGAATGACAGCATAAGACGTAGACCACCTTTGTTATAAACAACAGTTACCCTCAGTTAGAAGGGCAGCATAAGACGTGGTCATTCTCGTTTATCATAGAAATAAATTGAAACAGACTTTTCTATTCTTCGTATATATTGTCTAAAAACTGTTTACCATATTGCACCTTGTTCACCTTTTACTATAATGTCAGTTATATAGATTAATTGTAATTAATATTTCAACTCTTAATTAAGAGCAAGTTGTATTACTGAAAGAACTGTTGTACATAATATTTATTTAATTTGTTGTTTGTTATTAAGCACAAAGCTACACAAAGGGCTATCTGTGCTCTGCCCACCACGGGTATCTAGCGTTGTAAGTCCGCCGACATACCGCTGTGCTACTGGGGGGCATTCATTTAAGTATTTAATGTATTAATATGTTCTTAACAAAATATTATTTTTTCAAACAACTCAACGTATACTTCTCATTATAGTTTTGAACAAATTACATAAACTGTTTATATATGAAAAAGTGGTTTATTATATGTTGACATTGAGAACTTCATATAGCTGATAAGTAACAAATGATTTATTGACTTTGGGAACTTCATATAGCTGATAAATAACTAATAATCTATTGACATTGGGAACTTCATATAGCTGATAAATAACTAATAATCTATTGACATTGGGAATTTCATATAGCTGATAAATAACTAATAATCTATTGACATTGGGAACTTCATATAGCTTATAAGTAACAAATGATTTATTGACATTGGGAACTTCATATAGCTGATAAGTAACAAATGATCTGTTGACATTGGGATCTTCATATAGCTGATAAGTAACAAATGATCTGTTGACATTGGGATCTTCATATAGCTGATAAGTAACAAATGATCTGTTGACATTGGGAACTTCATATAGCTTATAAGTAACAAATGATTTATTGACATTGGGAACTTCATATAGCTGATAAGTAACAAGTGATCTGTTGACATTGGGATCTTCATATAGCTGATAAGTAACAAGAGAAACAGGAGACATTACAACAGTTTCTACAAATACTAACAATAGAAATTACTGCAAGTTGTGCTCTAGACAAATACTACATTCTTTAATTTGCCAGTTTTGATATTTACATACATAATGCAATTTTACCTTTACAGCTCACGAGTCTTGAAAGCATGACCTTCATGTTACAAATATAGTTTTCGGAACAGTAACTTAGCAGTGTCTTGAAGTCTCAGATTTGCCTAGGTCAGTGTTTCTCAAGCTTCTCAGGCTCATGTACCACATTTTGAAGTACAAACCTATGTTTAATTAAAAACAACAACTTAGTAACAAACACTAACATTTTAATACTTACCTATTAATAGAAAGGATGGGTTTTTTGTTGTTTTTTTTTGTACAAGATGTATTGTGATTTTTGTTAGTTTGAAGGGAACAAAACACTGGCGAGTCTATGCAGGTTGAGGGCAAGTCTAGGAGGTAAGAGAGTAGTGTGTATATGTACGCGGAAAACTCAAACTGAGCTTACTGCAAATTTTATAATTTTTTAAATAGTTTTTGGTGCACCACTAACATTAGTTCCACGTACCACCAGCTTGCGAATCCAAAGCCTAAGTACTTTTATTATGTTCTAAACTTTTTGTTCTGTTCAAAGACAATTCTTGCAGTTCAGTGCTCGAATTCTTATATTACTTCATTATCCTCGCTGCGGGCACGACTTCTACAGTGTAACACTTCAGATATTCGTTTTTAAGTTTATTAAAACAAACTATTTCTAGAAAAGTAAGATCTTCAGAGTAATATTTCTCTCTTTGGAACATTACGTGCACAGACAACCAGACAAAACCTCTTTAAATGGAACGAACAGTGTTTAGGTAAAGAGTTTCTTATATGTTTCTGACCAGGATATTAAATTCCCCCAATAAAAGAGACAAAAACGAAAAATAAAACCCGTTAAAGTCAACACAATATTCATCCTATCTCTCCTTCTCTTTCTCTCTCTCTGTTTCTCTATCTCCATTTATCTATATACATATATATTCACAGGATTATTTTTCTGCAAATAATAAGTGTGAAACTTCCTTTAATGCTAGAGACATATCATAATGTTATAAAACCTTCTGTTGGTACATAATTTCTGTAAAAATACTTTGCATATTTTCCGTTTTCATGATTTAACTAAATACAATATTCCACATTCAATTTTTTCAAACATATTAATTTATACTATTGTGCCTTTATAAATGACTTAACTTATATCGACAATTTTCTATAGCAGATAGAAAATCTTTCTTTGTGAAAACAATTTATAGTCTTCGAGCTATGTCATAAACCTTTATTGATTGCAATAATAATTAAAGTTTTAACACTTAACTTTCTATAAACAATATGTAGTATGCATTATTGAGTATTTGCCCTCAAATAAAAGGGAGTAATTTACGCAAGTATTAAGCATCCTTATGAAACTATACAACTACGTTATAAGCTAGCTGTGAATTTTTCCTAATACTAATTCTACAAGGAAGATCAATGCATGTTGCCACAATGATATTGGTAAAAATAATATTACTCTATGGTGCTTAAACGAAAATACTTCTGTAATTCCAAGGCGTACGAAGATATAGAGGTGGTCGTTTCGAAATCGCTCGGGTTACAGGGTTTGTTCTTTTTGTGTTAAGTTAATTTCTTGAACCGACTTGTCTTCCTAACGCCAAAAAGACATATATATTATTAAGGCAATTATTGCTGAATGTTACCAAGACAACTTACACCATGTAACAATAAATCAAGTATCAAAGCACGGTGTTGATACAAAGAGTAAAGTGTGAATATGAATATAATTTTAAGCCTATGGTACCATGATTTGTTACCTTGGGCGGTGTCAACTATGCATAAAGTTAATCACACTTTATAAGAACAATATTCATATGCTAATGCAATGATAAGTCGACGCAAGTGTGAACCTGAAACATGAAGTCGCAGGCGACATGTTTAGCACCTATATTTGTGTTACGGGGAATTCCGGATTATTCTTCAATACATTAACTCTCAAGATATTTCTGAGGAAGTATATTCCTATAGGGAATATTTTAAACTATGTTGAGTCAAAGTATGCACATTTGCGAAAAAGGGTGCCTACACATTTCTTTAAGAAAACGGAAAAATTTGCACTGAAGATTAGAACAGCAATGTGCTGCAAAACTAAATCCCAAGTCAACCCGGAGTAACGCACTCACCCACAGTAAAGCCTATAATTACAAATGAAAACCCTATACAGCTAAAATATCATTGTGTTGATATTGGACATATCGCCTAGTTCGGTTAGCAATATAATAAACAAAAATTCAAAGTAGACGAAGGACCGCAAGCAAACGTTCATAAGCTGCCATACACACCTTGAAATTAATTGCGATTTTCATAAGAAATACTGCTAAAACACTGAAATCACAGCAATTCCATTTGACCACACACATATGTCAATTATCCAACTGGAGCTACAATGGAGCTTTGTACCTATACTCTGAATAGTCGTGATCTCGGAAGTTGAATTTTACTTATGTCTGGGAAAAGTTTGGCAAAATGTATGATCTGAGATTGTCTTTGCCGTCTTTAGTAGTGTTGAGCAATAGTGCGTAATAAAGACCATCATTGTAAGTAAGTAACATCGACAATGGTGGGAATAGTTCCGAGGGTTGCATAACCTCTTAGTGGACGTCTGAATCTGAAAATAGATTCCATGCAAGACAACGAGAAAGGTTACAATATATGCATTGAGACAGTTATATTTGTATAATATTAATACAAGTTATAAGACATAGTACCAAACATTGTGATATAGCAAATACTAATGTATGTTATTGAAAGTAGTATTTTAAGAAATACTAGTAGTGAGATCTAATATAGAAGTAATCGAAACATGATACCAGGAGAAAGTAAATGTGAGAGAGTGAAAAGTACTAAAATTTGGCACTATGTCAAGTAATAATTTGTAATACGTTAAACAACAGAATACAAATAGAACTACCAAAACAAAACTACCAAAGTTGTAGAAGATTCTCGAGAGTAAGAATCAAAAGTATATGTGTGTATAAACGCTTTAATCAGTATTGTTACGTAAGACTGAATTTTCTACAAAACTTTCCCACGGCTATAAATATAACCAACGCGACGCGCCGAAGAGAGTGTCTATTAGTAGTTCGCTATAATCAGTGTGCTATAAAATTCGAAAGCTATAACTGTGATTTTTATAACGTTTATCAGTCGGAAAACTTCAGATATTTGACCAGGAATATTTATAAATTTCGAACTTTACAAATCGTTTAACTTCAGTGGATTCTCACCAAACATTAGTATTTTTAAGAAAACATGACCTAAATTCAACGGTGGAAAACAGCGTGTGTGGCCAAGGACAAAGCTAGCTAGCTTCTCTGCGAATCGTATCTACATCAACTCGTAATTAACTCATCGTAAACTCTCGATAAGATATCAAGGAAGTTACAGACAAGAAAGAAGACTTTATATTGCTTGTAAGTTTGTGAAACTTTTGTTTATAAATCATTGTTTGTAGTA